TCAATTTCTGATCTCAGCAGACATAAGACTTTGTGCTCTATCAGATGTATCAAGTGAAACATATTGGGTTTTAATGGTGCCTACAATATGATGGCATCATTGTACTTAGACTAACCATCCAGTATCAATTTCATTCCCTTGGCAAACTTGATGCGATGGCAAAAGAAGCAACTTCTATGAGCACAAATCAACTATTGTTTGATATTTTAATATTTTATATTAGGTAAACATCACCGCATCCCAAAGATTTATACTAGGCTTCAAGCAAATCCATTAAGAACTCTTCATTTTGTTCCTTACGAAATTCATTCAGGAGAATTCTTCCATTAGCACAACTGCTAATTTAGAAAGAAATAAAAAAAAGATAAAATTGCCCTAGCATTTTCCTTCAATTTTCTCAAGAAGGTCCCTCATTAGTGCCGACTTCATTCTTCCCTTCACTATTGCCTCCTACCTCCATATTGCTTTGATAGATTTTCCCTCCTCTCTAACTCCTACAACCTCATTGGCATCCCTATTTGCCTTGCCCGCACTTGCATGCAAGATGTGGTGCTCAATAAGCAGTGCTTGAAACTCATTGACTATAAAAAGCAATATTCCATTATCATCAACATCACATATGGATTTTATTTCCTTCATGTGTTCAAGGCTCTCAAGCTAATAAAGAGACATCAATATGAGCAACCTTATTCTCTATTCACATATCTTCACCAAAATTATCAATTTTGACCACACTTGCCTGAAATAAATAGTCCCCTTGAAGGTGATCATGTGCGCTAGAAAGCCCAAGACAGCAAGATCGAATAAAAATCGTAGTAAAAAAGGGTGAAAGAAATGGCCTTGTTGGCAAAGAATGAAACAATGAATAATGACGATGGACGTGTCAATGAAATATTGAAGATGGGGAGACCGCTTAAAGTTTGATGACACAACTTACTTGATGATAATGCGATACTGGTAAGGATTCGCATTACCATAGCTCTAGCAATAGAATAAATTCAAGAAAGTCAATTTCAATGGGAATGGCGAAAGAATCCTAACACTACAATGAGACAAAAATCTTAGGAGAGAAAGAACTCTATGAAGGTCATCATTTCATCTTAAAGACCAATCTAAAACCATTAAAGAGGGTATTTTTTGCCACAAATTTCACATCATTCAAAGTCAAAAACATCACAAGCTAAATTAATAAAAAAAATTTAACTTTGTTAGTAAAACAATAACCAAAATAAAGACTAGCATATAAGCTTAGGAGTTACTTTATAAATAAGAAGAACATAATAAACCAAAATAAAGGGGTTTTAAAAGGGTAGATCTATGTGAAGCACATTATAAATCTCAAGTATCTAGGAAATATACTCTTTCATATATTTTTTTGGTAATTTTCATTTTGCTCATTTTTGTCATTTTTATATTTTAGAGACTAAATTTGATAGAGGCTCAATATTGTTTGTAAGGATTTCCTACATTCAAGATTTTTCATTTGTATTTGGAGGAAGTTATAATGTTGGTATGTAGGGGCAAGCCTAGAATTCAAGCATCTAAAGATTGAATTATTAGGATCCCATTGATTGAGATATATATTGTTAATGTGATTGAATTGGAGATAAGAGATTGATTATTAGGTAGAATCCATTCAACCTTGAGATCAAAGGTGACTCCCTAGGGATCAATGAATGTTATCAAACAAAAGAGATAATAACACCACCAAAAGTAGAAGACAATACCAAAGTAGTCAGCATCATAGTAGACTTTGACAAGATTAAGATCTTTATGTCCTATCAGATACATCAAGTGAATCATTGGCTCCAATATTTGATCATAGGAGAATAGGTTGAGGCTTTCATTAAAATAGTAATCAAGCTAACACACATTGTTTGGAGTATGTGTGACACATTTTTATTGATGCAAATCTTAAGCTTTTGATTGAATCGACAGCATTGACTTAGTATTTGGCAACTTTGTTAGTGCAATCAACTTTGATGTCCATATGATCGAATGGTCAAAGGTATGAGGTGAGCCTCTTAATTTTTGTCGTTTGTTATGGATATCTTTAAATAGGATAGTTGATAGATTTGGCAATCATCAAGAAGTTTATTCCCTTTATTCGGTGGCTTTTGAATTTGAGGATAGAGATGTGTATTTAATGGATGGTTGTTGTATGATTATCCTATCTAATTATGATAATTGTACTGATTATTAGAGAGCTCTTTTGGCCTTTTTTTAAATGGAGGTGACATGGTTAGAGGGTTCGCTTTAGTTAAGGAGATAGATTTAATTTGTTTTGTAGAGTATGGAGACGCTGCAATGAATAGTTATTATTAATAGGAACCATTGGGGATGAATCATTGATAGTCTTTATTGGGGATTTGATATAAGATGATAATGGTTAGAGGTCGATTATTGAAGAGCGTCGATGAGGATAAATCTTTGGCAAATCTTATGGGATGTATTTCATTTGGGTTAAATAGAGATAGTAATGGGTTTAATATGCATACACCTATGCAAACCAAGTACCTTAATTTGGTATATAAGGAGACCTGGAATTTTGGATTTGAACACTTGGGGTAGGCAGAATTTTGGCAGGTAAATCAACGGTGCACTTGAATTGTGTTGAGTTAATTTTGTTATGAGTTGCGCAGTTAGTTTATAGCAGACAAAATTCTTCGGAGTTCATTGGTATGATTAAAGATAATCCAAGACCATAGATTGACAATGTTTAGTCCAAATCAATTTGGATTATCGATCGAACAACTAGCTCAAAGAGATCAATAAAAGGGGCATAATATTTGGATTTGGGTAATCATTGGCTCTTTAATAATGACAAGCTTGCTCCCAAAGAACTAATAGATTCAATAAAAAAATTTATATTTTTGTCATAATTTATTAAATTTGTTTTTTATTTTTACATACTTTGTAGGAATTTTGGCTATTTTAAATATTTTTTTAGTGGTAAAATGAGAATCTTCATTTAACATTTACAACAACGAACTTAACATTATTGATTTAAAACTTTTTTTTCAAATTTTCTACATTTTCATGCAATTTCCTCTTGATAAAATACAATTGAAAATAAATTTGATAATATTTAGTGACAAATGCTGTTTTGTGAAAGTCCAGAACCTTTCTACAAGTTTTTGAGCTATTTTGAGTTTTAAAGGTAAGTTTCAAATTAGAAGAGCAGATCTTTTAAGCAAAAAAATCACTTTGAGTGTTTCTTAAAAATCAAAAGGACACTATCAGTAGCCTAAAGAATTGTAATAGCAGTTGAAAGGGCAATCCTTGAAATATTGCACAGAAAGCTATTGATCATTCAACAATCATATACATCATATCCTCAAGTAAATCACCCAAAAAAGTCAATTGAATTTCAGAGTGCAGGGATTATATATAAGATCACAAATGTAGGCTTGTCGTATGTACGATTACTTTGATAGTATACAAGAGCAAGGAAGAAGTTAGGGTATTCAAGGTTTGCTTCAAGCTATTTTTCACTCATTTTTTGTTCTAGTTTTCAGAAGTGGGAAGGTACCTGCTTGACCATACTAAACTCGACTCAAGGTTGTTTAAGTTCAACAAAGGCAAGGTTTTTTTCTCAAGCACATTATTGTTAAGTTTTTTGTTCTTTTTTGCTTGAGTTTATTTGTTTGATCCAATCCGCCATATGGAGATCTTCAGAACTACTTTAGTAATTCAATGGTATTTTGATGGAGTGTGTGGGGTAATATTTTTCTATCTCCGATTTCACCTGAAAGTTTAATAATGCTTTTGCATAGTCCCAAGGTAAGAAGCAACTGAAGTATCAACCTATACCAATCACATACAGAAGGCCATGTACAGGTGGTACAAATCACCAATGCTCATATCAAGGGCCTTATCAGCATGTCCAAAACATAGTACATAGATGCAATAATCAGTCTCAGCTCAATTGGGTTGTTAGACATCCAAAGAGCTTGCATTCCACTTGTTAAGATCAAGGAAGCTTGGAAGCTGGCACATCCCATTAAAAATATCATGTACAGAGGTTCCCCAACATCGAATCTACTGGGTCATTAGACATCCAAATACTATCAATCAATAGAATGAGGCAAAGTAGGATGTTCAAGGAGGAGAGAAGTACAAGTAGAAAAAACTCCCTTCAACGTGATGTGGGTTCATGGCAATATTTCGACAAAGCATATGTAGGCACTTCCCTTCCCCCTTTCCTCATATCAAATGGGAGCCTCCCATGGTTTAGCAATGGATTTGGAACTAATCCATAGTGGGTAGCTGGGTGTGGTAAGCTTTCTAAAGAATCTAAAGGGAATGGGGCCGACAATGTACATGTTGGATCTAAGTGGTTTGAATATACAATTAACAAATTATATATGCAATCAATTAGCAATATATACAACCAATCTCAAGATGTTGTCCATAATTGTCCCACTTTAATAGGATCGAGCTTTCTTGGCATGACTTGTCATGCTTTGACCACCATTGACACCTTTGTTATATGGGTTAACCTTTGACTTAATTTGAATCAATCAAACTGGGTTAGTCTAATTTGAACAAGGGTCGTCGAGCGTTGACCAAGATGAATTTTTGAGGGTCTGGATTGTTCGAGTAGTTAAGTGACCCATCTTAGTACCTTTCTTGAGTGTTGTCACTCTTAGGGGCATCAACGTGGAGCCACTCTTTAAGACATTATAACAAGTTGGCCTATCGCTATCACAACCATTCTTACTTGAAAACTTCGACAGGTCAACACATAAAAGCATTCACATATTAATAGATTGCATGACTAAGAAGCTTCAAAAATATAATGAGATAAATATCATCATCATCACTGTTAGCCATGTCTTAACTATATGAGCTGGTTTTATTAATCATCCACCTCCATTCGTTCCTGTCAAGTGTCACATGAGGCAAATACAAGGAATCTTTCATGCATGTTAGGGCAAACAATAACCAAACTTGGTGAAGATAAATAACTCATAAAATGCACGAAGTATAGTGGATACATCCAGCAACATTTGGTGGAATAGCATTATAAGAGTACCTGCAATAAAAGATAATAACAATATAAATTGGGAGATTTCACAGGAAAGCTTATAAAATGATTAAATGATGTAACTAAGTCATTCTAAGACATTTACAAAGAGTAATTATTATGGAAGCAAAAAAAATCATAATCACTACTACATGCAATGCATATATATATATATATATATATATATATATATATATATATCCACGTTCAGCAAAAATTTTATTATATCTCACTAGTGGTCCTAAACTATGGTACGGGTGATGGCATGTTAAAAGGTAAAGTGGAAAACTTGGGGGGTAAAGAATTTTCAGAATTGGTCAAGAGTTAAAAATAAAAATGCCTATGATAGCCTCACTTAGCCCTACATAGATGCTATTGAGTGTTACCATAGACCCAATGCGTCCATGACAGGACAGCCTTCATCCATCAACAAGAGGCAAAGGAGGATCCCTACTTATTAGCCCGTACAAGAGACTACCACAAGTTAAACAATATGACTAAATCATGTCATTTTTAATATGTAGAAGAGCTACACAGTTATAAGTCAAGAATCAAAAGAGCACTTGGAATTTGTCCTCTCTACCAATTTTCTATCACACAATACCTCAGAGTTCATTATTCCCGATAATGGCCACGGTGTCTGCTGCAATTAGTCCCCAAAGGAACATTCATATAATATGTCAACATTACTACCAAACACGCTTATTTTGCATTTCAAGCAACTATAAATCTTACATACCAAAGTGCTAGCAAGCTTGTGCTGAAAAAGATGATAAATATCACCAAAAAGCAAATACAACAGTAATTTCATGCAAACTATACTTTTTTCGAAAAGAAAAGAGCAAAAAAAAAAGAGCTGTGGATTCGCAAACACATAAGGTAGAAGCACATGAAGAATGTCTAAACTGCATAGAACAACAATATATTTTACAAGCCTAAAGAATTAAAAATAAATGAGGATTTATTTTAATTCTTGTTCCTAAAGAATTAAAAACAATTTGATCCGCAAATATATATGTTTACTGATTCATTTTTGCTTTTATGGATATTAGTTTTGTAAAGAAGATAGATTTTGTATGCAAATGTGTAAATCACCTAAATTTTTAAAAGCATTGCTGGAAAAAAAAATCATCAAACCAAGCTTAGACTGAAAAATTCATTACCATCCATCACCTTGACAAAGAACTAACTATTGAACCATAAATGATCTCATGGACATATTCACGATCAAGTTAGATCCAATGCATTTTGCTAGACAAAACAAAATATAGGAACAAGAAATCATGTTTATATGTCGGCAGACTAACCGATTGAAGTCATCTACAAGATTAATTGTAATATTTGGTTTCCAATAAGAAATCCATTCAACGCTACCCTCATCCTTGGAATCGGACTGGATATCATCCTTGACCTATAACATCACAAACATATAGTTGCTAGCATATAACGATAAAGAAGATGAGGTACAGTATTTTCCATCTAAATCAAATCCTATAAAAGGAATAAAAAAAATGAGAATATGAAACAAGTCACTGCAAACAATAAACTAACCTCTAGGTCCAAAATATCCTCTTCAGATTGCTTTGAATTAAGCAAGCTTCTTCTTTTGCCTGACTTGGACTTGGGATAGTACACCACAACAGCTGAAAATAAAAAATTACTAATACTTCAAAATGGAATAGCACTTTAAGATTTACAATCCCCAAAAAAGGCTCTCTTACGATGGGTCCTAGAAAAAGCATATCGTGGCTGATATTCAGAATCATTAGGATCTGGTGGGTACCCCGAGTGAGCAAAGAAAACATGAGCATAAAGGCTCCCATTGTGTTTTAATGCCTGAAAGCATCAATACATTTAAAAAAATTATTAGCAATAAATAAAAAATGCAACAAACAATACGGGAATATTGCACTAACAAATATATTTAGAAGTGTCCATTAGTACCTCGGATGGAGTATACTGGAGAGAAAGGGACCTACTACTTCCTTGCCCCCAGACAGCATATGGAATATTTGTTTCATGCCACAAAAGGGCACCATCATTTCCAAAGTCATTGAATATTTGTTGGTCAGAAAGATATAACCACATATCCTAGACAAGTAAAAGACAATCGTCATTTAAATATTGTACCAGCAATCATAAGTGACTAGCTAAACTATTTAAATATAAATAGAAAAGTGACATTTGTGAATTATTGCAAACGTAATGCACAACACAAGATGAAATGATATGATACTTTGCCATGAAAAAAAAAAAATAAACAATATGACTCTTCCGACGCTCATGTAATAAAAACTAAACTAATTTTTTATAAAAAAAAAAACTCACTTTTTTTCTATTTTTCATTTCCCTCTCCAAACTTCTTTCGCAAATCTTCCTGCCTAAACTTTTCCTTTCTGGAACGCTCGACTAGGATTTGGGTCGATATTGCAGGAAGCCAGGATCTATGCATCCAACCGCCGGCTTCCAAAGCTTGACTCTCACATACTCGTTTCACAACTTCCTCTCCTCTCTCGATGCCAAAGCTTGACCTCCAAGTTCAACGACTGACATCCTTTCCCCTTTTAACCCCAAAGCCAAATGAGGAGATGATTGACATTCTCTACTTCTGATGCCGAAGCACAAGATCCCCCAAATAAACACTAAATAATCAAAGGGAAGTTCAACCAAATAAATATTGTTTAATTATAATTATATAAGTTCATTACAAAAAAATATATCAAAATAAAAGAAGTTTCAAATATCATCTAGTTTTAATTTTCATGCTATCATTTTATCTATCATTTATTTAAGTCATGTTATTTGATATTTTGATTATACCTTTATGTGTATTGTGCAATTGCGATAGAAAATATTGAGCACTACTATAACGTTATAAGTTTTTTTCTATTTTTTTCGTTTAACTTATATAAAATGTTTTAATTTTTAAAATATAAAAAAATTATAATATTATATCTACTGCATGCTCGTGTCCTATATTTTCAAAAACAAATGTGTTTCATGTCTGTAACGTGTCGTGTCTAAGTCCTCATGTCCATGTCCATGCATCCTAGACTTTTACCAAATATCCAACCTTCTTGTAATATTATCTACAAACATCGTGTGCCAAGCCAAGATGATAATACAATCAAATATAAACATAGCCAGTCCTTTAAAAAAGGTTTATTCTGAAAGAAGCACATAGTTCAAAAGCTTAAAGCGCTGGAATATCTTAAAGCTAATTTTTTATGTATGAAAGAAAAATCTTTAAGAAGTGAAATAATATTGATACCGGTTAAGCACATAGGATTAATTCAATGTTATATATATATATATATATAACAACAACATCAAGCCTTTATCCCACTGTGTGGTCAGCTACATGAATCCTTTCTCTCCATTGTATCCTATTAAGAGTTAAATATATATATATATATATATATAGTCTTATCAAGATAACATCAACATTCAAGTAAGAATGTTATCTATTAAAAGACAAAATGTTTGGTTAATATTATATTACTAAATAATGCAAGGTTAGCTAGCAAGATCAACGGAGATTACAGATATTTATTTTATCCATCAAATAGCTTGGCATTTAGATGTAGGTAGATTTATGAAATTTTTATTTAAAGATGCTAATGAAGCAAACAGTTGATATCTTCCAACAACGTAAGTTACTAAGCCAAACAAACAATTAACTCGCAAACATCATTGTCAACATCATTAGTCTTATCAAAACTATTTGGGGTTGGCTATATAAATCTTAATTGTCCATTTATTCATGCTGAGTGCTGCCTAATATTTTAATCTTATCCTTCATAAATTACTTTGTACAACTTCTATCCATGTGACCTTTAATCTACTCCTTCCACTCCTATTTCACTAACACTAATTTTATCTACTCTTAATAGGACTCCTATTTCACCAAGGACTTCTATCCATGTGACTCTTAATAGGACACAATGAAGAACAATGATTCATGTAGTCGGCCCCACATAATAGGATAAGGGCTTGTTATTGTTGTTGCTTCTCGGACTCAAATTTAACGATCATTCAACTATGATATTTTTAAGCTCCATGACTTTTGTCTTAATCGAATAAACACTTGCCCCTGAAAGGAATTTGGCATAAGACTCATTTACTCTTCAATCATGTCAAATTTATGACTATCCATGAAAATGTCATTTCTTAGAGGCTCCACACTTTCCTCAACCAGATAAGAGTGATTGTATTTGAATCTCTTAGCAAGTAGGCTCTATAAATAATGGCTTTTTTCTTATTAGGATATTTAGTAGGAATGGATGTTAAGTCTGACAATCTCATCCACATTTGTGGTGTCATCAGCCTCAATAGCAATAAGAATCACAAAATTGTTCTCAAAAGATGGAGGAACCTCCATAATCTTAGTAGAGATTATGAAGATTATAACTAAGGAAAATCCTCTAGGATTAGAAAGAGAGACTATGAGTTGACCATATATCATTGCAGCTGAAATCATTGGAATCTGATAGAGTTCTAGGACAAACTTCACTAGAAGATCTCAAAAGATGAAGAACAAAAAACTTTCTACAAGGAGACATCATCAATGAGAAAATGCAATTGAAAATTAGCATAAGCTGCAACAATTCATCCCTTAAAACTAATTAAAAATAAACTTAAAGATTGGGGAGATATCTAAAGATGGAATATTAAATTAAAATCAATAAAAAATATATACATGTACATTAAATGCTATATCCAAATATAAGCACCAAGCAAAAATGGGCATGACACAATATCCATTAAAGCAATAACTATTTGAAATTGAGCAATAACAAGTTTTATCTTCCTTGATAGCACAATAACTTAAGAAAGGGATAGACTCTTTACTGACCTAGCCTAAGAAGGAACATCGAAACATAGCCCATCTTGACTGACCCAATTTGTAGAAACATGAAAATTTTTTGGTACAACCAACAATTAAAATTTATCACAAACATCATTAAGAAATCATTTATTGACATTAATTGATGATAAGCATGACTCTTCAAACAAAGATAACAATACATAGAATCACCAAACTCAAAGACATACAAGAACCTTCCTAATAAGCGATTCATTCAAGATGAACAATTGAGATGCCAATCTCTCAGCTTCTTCATTTAATAACATGCAACTCTATTTATAAACCCTAGCCTAGCTAGGTTTGGGCTTCTTTATGAACTTCATTCTAGAAGACTTTGTAAAATTGAGTAACTTATTTTGTAGACCTGAAGGATTAAAATAAAATCAATATGAATTCTCTCATGCTCTGGTAGATGTGCTATTTATTCTCTAATATATAATTATTATAATACCACAGCGAGTAACTCTCTAGCCAGGTTAGAGACAACATTTGGTGCATTCATTTAGAAATAGAAAAGAGAGTGACAATATTAGAACTGCACAAGATCAGGGAGATACCAAACCAAAGGATCACATGACGATGATCAGCTGAAGAAGCAAATCCTCAGAAGGAGGCAGAGGATATGGAAGAAGAGATCGATATTAACACCACCCAGTTAATTCAGAACATCGATCAATCTCAGCAGCAAACCATAACAATGCACAATGCAATGCTTGATGGAGGGACAACAATCCAACTCTTTCCCCTCAGAAAAAAAGAAATCCTAAAATTTACATAGTCAAGGCATCTGAATAAGATGATTGGAAATACATAATAAAATGGATTAGGAAAAGTATTCCACAAATTTTACAAGTCATGCAATTATATAAGGCAGGCAAACAAAAGTAAATCAGGATTCTTTGATCGAGCAATCAAAAGAAGAACAGCGACTGATCCTATTGCTAAAGACCTCAATACCCTTATGAATGCATCTCAAAGTCGCCAAAAATGGATCAAAAACCGCATCTCTAATATCGGAACAGATGGAACAAATATGACAGGAAGTAAAATAAGATTTGCAGATGAAACAGACCAGTGGCTCTCCCTTTTGGAAGAGGTTGGACATAAGCTGCGAGGGGTCAGCGGGCTTCTTTGGTGAGAAGAATTTCATGGCGAAGTACCACATAACCGCCATCCGGATTATTCCGGTCACCGTCTGGCCAAACCCTCCCTGCTGCCTTTGCCTCGCCGGCGTAGCCGGCGTAGCCTCCGTAGCCGACGTAGCCACTGGTTGCGCCATCGACGGCCGCCGAAGAACGCGATGAAGGATTAGGACAACTGGAGCAACTTACTGATCCGCCTCCGTTCCGAAGCTTTAATGAACGGAATTTTTGGGGCTCCTCTTATGGTCGGCCTGGCGGAGATATTTTTAGTAGGCAAAAATTCCCACTAAATAATATTTACATCCCAATTGTGAATACTAAAAAACTATATCTTTTAAAAAATAAGTTTAATAATATAAATTATTTTTATTAAATTTATTAAGAGATACTAACTTGCCAATAATTAAAAAAAAAATTATGATCAAATAAAAGAGTAAAAATGTTAACATGAACTTTTTGTTTGTTTGGTGGGAATTATCATTGCTTGATTTCGACTTTGTTTGGAATAGCTTTTTTACTGTTTTTTAAAATAATTTTTTAGTACAAAAAAAATTCTTGAATTAGAAATTTTTTTACTAAAAAATTATTTTAAAAAGCAATAAGAAAGATGTCCCAAACAAAGCTTTAGACTCATAACGGTGCTTTGTCAAAATAGTAACATTTAATGTAAAATATTGGCCTTCTAGTTTATAATAATTTGTTAAATAACTTACAATGATGTAGTTAAGTGTTGATATAATATTATTGACTATTTTTATTAAATTATTTAAGTGTTATTAATTCATGTCGTATTCATTATATTATATTAGTCCTTTTTATGATGTAATGTTTTTTGTTATAATGGTCTATTATTTCTATAGAACTTAAAAAGATCCAAGCATGAAGTTCTTAATCAAAATATGTTTGAATAAGGTCTTATCAAGATTCGAATAATGTTCCAACCTATTCAAAATAGTGTGAATGATATTCAAATCATGTTCAAACCATATCTGAATATAATTCGAATAAGATTTGAATAAGTTTTTAACCAAACAAATTATAATAGAGCAAAGTGCAATCACGATATACATACTATAATTTTGTTATGATATAGTTAAATCACAATAGCTATAACTTTGAAGTATGCGAGTACAATCACAATTGTTATGATAAAACACATTGAATTTTCATCCTTGTCTTAGGTGAGTGTTCAAGCTACTTCTTTCTTATGAAGCTAATATCTTCCCATTCAACTTATTCTACACAAGTATACTACATAGGATACTAATTTATATCACTATAAAAGGCCTAAGGATTAACTTACATCTAAACAGTTGAAGAATCATATATGTGTAAACACTTTTACATTAAAACTAAAATTTCTTTAGCCTTTCCTAGAAGATCAAAAATATCGAACCCTCTATTAATTTTATCCATCACATCCTCAGCTCTATATATGACCTAATTAGTATATGATTATAGTGGGTATTCGCATATCTAATAAATCAATTCAAATGAATTAGTCTCATATAAGATAATGAGCATAATGTAAAATGGTATGGTTTGAACATATTTGAATCATTTTTTAGCCGCATTTGAATCATGGTTGAATCACGCTTGAACCAATTTGAGCATGTTTTAAGTAAATGTTGAACTTCGAACTTGGTACAAATAAAGTAAAAATATGGTTAAAACTTAGTTCGAATAAGGTTCAAACATGATTTGTACAATATTTGAACAAAGTTGCAACAATTAATAAATGCTTAATGTATTTTAAGGTTTAAATATTATTGTGTGAATAAAGTTTGAATAGGTTTTGAAACTACTTTTATAAGTTTGAGCTTGTTTGATTTTTTAAATGTAGGATTCTCTTATAGTCTTCTTTCTGTATAGATGTAACTTTTAACAATGAATGCATTCAAACCTAACTAACTAGATGTATAGTATCATTAAAATCTAATAAATGATAGTTGGAACGTAAAGATCCTTGTTTTGAAGCTTTATCAGTAGTTAAGTGTTGATATAATATTATTGACTATTTTTATTAAATTATTTAAGTGTTATTAATTCATGTCGTATTCATTATATTATATTAGTCCTTTTTATGATGTAATGTTTTTTGTTATAATGGTCTATTATTTCTATAGAACTTAAAAAGATCCAAGCATGAAGTTCTTAATCAAAATATGTTTGAATAAGGTCTTATCAAGATTCGAATAATGTTCCAACCTATTCAAAATAGTATGAATGATATTCAAATCATATTCAAATCATATCTTAATATGATTCGAATAAGATTTGAATAAGTTTTTAACCAAACAAATTATAATAGAGCAAAGTGCAATCACGATATACATACTATAATTTTGTTATGATATAGTTAAATCACAATAGCTATAACTTTGAAGTATGCGAGTACAAGCACAATTGTTATGATAAAACACATTGAATTTTCATCCTTGTCTTAGGTGAGTGTTCAAGCTACTTCTTTCTTATGAAGCTAATATCTTCCCATTCAACTTATTCTACACAAGTATACTACATAGGATACTAATTTATATCACTATAAAAGGCCTAAGGATTAACTTACATCTAAAAAGTTGAAGAATCATATATGTGTAAACACTTTTACATTAAAACTAAAATTTTTTTAGCCTTTCCTAGAAGATCAAAAATATCGAACCCTCTATTAATTTTATCCATCACATCCTCAGCTCTATATATAACCTAATTAGTATATGATTATAGTAGGTATTCGCATATCTAATAAATCAATTCAAATGAATTAGTCTCATATAAGATAATGAGCATAATGTAAAATGGTATGGTTTGAACATATTTGAATCATTTTTTAGCCGCATTTGAATCATGGTTGAATCACGCTTGAACCAATTTGAGCATGTTTTAAGTAAATGTTGAACTTCGAACTTGGTACAAATAAAGTAAAAATATGGTTAAAACTTAGTTCGAATAAGGTTCAAACATGATTTGTACAATATTTGAACAAAGTTGCAACAATTAATAAATGCTTAATGTATTTTAAGGTTTAAATATTATTGTGTGAATAAAGTTTGAATAGGTTTTGAAACTACTTTTATAAGTTTCAGCTTGTTTGATTTTTTAAATGTAGGATTCTCTTATAGTCTTCTTTCTGTATAGATGTAACTTTTAACAATGAATGCATTCAAACCTAACTAACTAGATGTATAGTATCATTAAAATCTAATAAATGATAGTTGGAACGTAAAGATCCTTGTTTTGAAGCTTTATCAGAAACCAATCACGTAGGCTTTGAGATTATTAATGTTACAGATTTAAATGTAAGTAATAGAAATTGAAAAATCTTTTTCCCTTAGGTTGGAATAAGGGAAATGAGGAAAAAAAAAATTTAGAGGCGCTTTTTTGTTCTTAAAGTCTTTTTAGATAATTTTGTTTACATGAAAGATGAATAGTGTTTGATCTGATCGTCCGATTTCATGCCCGCCTCGTATATACGAGCTAACAGGGCCGGATCGTGACAATTAAAGATTAAATGTATTATAAATTGGGATGGTCAAGCATCATATTTATTATACATAGGCAATATCATGCAAAACATAATAATACTATCCAATAATCAATGCAATATGCTCACTTTCATATATGTTTATTTAACAATTAAATCAGTACATACATGCATGTTATATCCCATTAAATCATACCATGTCAATTGTACATGTTATATCAACCATGCATGTCCCATCATTATTTATGTACATTATATCAATCCACTATGCATGTAAATTATTTTACATAATTTTAATGTAGTAGTCATTTATCAATTTCATGTGTATAATTATCTTACTTTTCTTAAAGAGTGTGCATCAATTATAAAAATACACAATGAAATATCAAAATATAATCATATCACAATATACAGAAATGAGTAGATCTATAACATACTGAAAGTTACATTGTGAAAGCTCGTTATAAATTTAGATATCACATCTTTTACATTTTCTTATCAAATCAAACCCCAAAAATCCTACAAAAATTGAAATAACTGAAAATAGACGTAGTGTAACAATCGTCTACCTAGGGAAGGATACTTTTTCTAACTTGCTCGGCATAAGGAATCAACTCTAGAGCCTTGAAATCTTCTTCCTCTCTCTTCTTTCTCTTCTCTTCTCCCCTTCCTTATCCTCTTCATTTCTCCTGGCCAAATGAGATTATGCATGGGTTGGGGGAGTGGGTTTGGATATTTATATAAAAACTTTGAAAAGTACCTAGCCCCACAACACTCCATCACCCATCACTGCACCACTCCCAAGAATTTCTCATTTCTAGAATCTTCCTATAACTTCAAACCTCAACGCCACAGCATCTTCCTATAACTTGAAACCTCAATGCCACAGCAATGCTCCCCAGCATTGCAACACTACCGAGTGTTATCCATCAAACAAAAAGGGCACTTCAACATGGCTAGCACTGCAACACTCCTAAAAGCCTTAATATTCTTCAATTATAAAGAGAGCTTAGTGTCACAACACTTCTGACACCACGATCACAATGCCCTAAAGAATAAATATGAACTTATTGATTTTCTTTCTAAATTCAATCCTAAGCTTCTTTTTCAATATTCCAAGTAAGGATAATTACACTGAAAAGTCTTATCAAGTCCTACTCCGATTATCAAGTGTTTAATTTACTATAAAAGCATGTATTATATCATTATGATATGAAAATTTCCATCAAATATTTTTAACATGCATAATAATACTTTTAATATTATATTTATAAATATTAATTATATATTATAATAATGAATTTATAAAATATTTAAAAAAATTAATACTTTTAACTCTAATAAATAAAAAATTTCTTCTATATTTTTATTTGACTTTCTTTTGTTGGATAAAAAATCATCCAAGTGGATGATAATGGCTTTCATAAAGACAAAAAATATATATGTTAGACTATATAATCAAAATTTTATCATGAGGGTCTTAAAGTCATTAGATTTTTTGATATCAATGTAATATATGGATATAACAACAACAACATCAAGTCTTTATCCCACTACATGAGGTCAGCTACATAAATCCTTTTTTTTCATTATCGTGTCCTATTTCTCATTTAAATATAATAAAGAAAGTCATTTCTAATATTTTTTAACCAAGTCTTCTTAGTTCGACCTCTACCTTTCTTAACATAGGTCAAATCTAATACATCTACTCTCATAATCGAGGGTCATCAAAAGGCCGATATTTTATGTGACCAAACCATCTCTCCCTAATTTTATCTACCATTGGAGCTACTCTAACATTTTCATGTATATGCTCATTTTGTATTTTTTTCACTAAGAGTAAAGCCACTCCACTTAAGCATCCCCATCTCTGTAACAATGGACTTAATTTTATGCTTCTCATATAATGGCCAACATTCTGCACCATAAAACATTGTAGGTCTCAACACCATCTTATAAAATTTTTCATTAAGTTTGAGGTGTACTTTTATATCACACAATAGGCCTGAAGCATTTCTCCACTTCAACCATTTAAATTGAGTTATACTAATAATATCCCAATTCATCTCACCATCACTTTGGATAATAGACCCGATATATCTAAAATGAGTACTCTTATTAATGATTTTTGAAACCCATAGTCTCAACACTTTGCTTAGGAAGATAAGTCACATCAATTGTTTGATTTGAATTTAAACTTCATTTATGATAGCTTTCTTATTACTTTTTAAAATTGGCTTTTAATACAATATTTTTTTAACTAAAAATTTTTGTACTAAAAAGTTGCTTTAGAAATCAACAAAAAACCTGCCCCAAACGAAACCTTCATCTTCTAAAATTTGGCAGCTATCTGTAAAAGATAAAGTAACATAGCTCATCTTGGTCTATTGCTTGGGAGCTTAGACAATCAACTAAGAGGTCTTGAATTTGAGTCTTGTGTATGTGATATGTGTATGAGTCTGTCTTAATTGGCCTAAATGTCCAAAAAAAAAAAAAAAGATAAAGCAAGACCCATCTATAATAATTTCTGCTTGCGAAGTGGTTCTTGAAACACTCTACGATTCCTTGAATCATCATTATGAATATTTCAATTTAGTTTCGGTAGAAACAAAATCTTAATTTTCCATTGAGACTAATTTCCCTATAATCTTCTTCATCCCTTCCGTGGTTTTTGGCTCCAAGCATTCATACATGTTCATCACACCTTAAAGAATGGTAATCAAATTTGTCTCTAGGTGGGCGAATTATTACGTCCGGTCACCATCGTCCGGATACCAATCCAGACACACCACATCACTCGGATACACTGGGCCCCGGGTGTATCTGGGTGACGTGGCGTGTCTGAATTGATGTCCAGACGAATCCGAACACCAGACGTAATAATTTTCCCTGTAGGTGACGCTATAATTTTACCAACAACAGTGTATAAAAAATAATAAAGAATGGAGGAAATGAAATGAAAGCTTAGAGATAAGTCATGAAATTTCATTAGATTGGTAGAAATTAGCAGAGTGATATGTGACATGAGAAATTGTGTCATACTCCAATCTGATTATCATATTTATAGATTTGAATCAAGGAACATTACAGTTAAAAAAATAATACAATGAAGCAATATAAGTAAAACTGTCAATTCTGTAGCAAGACTTAAAAAAAAATTATTTTAAAAAAATAATAAATCTAACTAACTTATAAAACATATAAAATACATAGATAAACTAATAATGAATTTAAATAAATAAATAAATAAACAATTTGATGAAGTTCTAACGACTTCACTATGCTGGTGAATAGCTTGGAAACTTCGGCGAGTTCATTTGACAAGCACAGAGAGTGGCTTTGATGGCATTAAAGCTTCGCGTGGGACTGCTTTCTTTCCATCTTTCTGCTTTCAAAAGCAGTTTTTTTTAATACATTTTTTTTTTTTCAAGAAGTTTTTTATTAGAAAACTGCTTTAGAAAGTCATAATAAAGTTGTCCCAAACAATCTTAAATAATCTCAGGGCCAAGTGAGTATTGTCCAAGAACAAAAGGACCTCGTCAGCGAGTTCAGCATACATATACTTTGGCAACTTCATTTTCATGAGGAAATAATTTTTCTTATTGGCTGACCTCCTTTGAATCCGGTTCATGGCGACCAGCTAAAACTAGATAAAGTGGCCTTGGTGATGTTGGGCATGCAATTCTTTATTGGAGGGTATCAATTCATCAAATGACAGTGGAAGGCACCGGCAACTATCTCCCAACTGCTTGAATCTGGCATAACGTCATACGAATTTCATTCTTGTTAGAGAATCACAATTCCAAAAAAAATGCAAATTTGATCGAACTAAGCATTACTCCTGTATGCTTAATCTTCTTTCCATATGATTTCCCTAAAAGGTTAAGCTGGAATCACGCATGATTCAGAGTAAGGTATAGATTTGGCCGCTCGTAGCAACTGTCTTCCTCCTTTTCATAACTGAGAGATTTCAACGATGAAAGCATCTGAGAACTCAAAGAAAGAATTCATTCAATCAATGCACTGAAAACCTCGGCACACAGCCAACCAAATCACAAGCAAAACCAAGCAAAGAAACACATCAACCGCGACCACAATTTTCACAAGCCGCCACCACAATCGCCGGCCATTCTGCTGCATCCAACCCCTAGGGGTCAAGCTGCTCTGCAATGGCACCGATCCAGCCGGTCTCATCGGCATGTCGATCCAGAGTTCCGCGGCATCCCCTTTTGTCTTCTCATCGCCGCCGCCGCTTCTAGAGAGGGTTTCAAGAGAGGCGATGAGTCGGCGGACGACGGGGATGACCTCTTCGTGGACGCCGTTCTTGGAGGCGCGGTGGAAGCTTTCGCGCATAAGGTCGAGGAAGCGGTGGGCGGCGGCGCTGCCGGCGAGGGAGTTGGTGATGACGAAGTAGGTGTGGCCGTCATCGTCAATGAGGAAGGCGAAGGTCCGATCGCCGGCGGTGTGCGAGTATCGCGAATGAAACGGAGGTGCACAGTCAAGGGCAGCGGCGGATAGGGCTTCCAATTCGCGATCATCCCCGTGGGTGTACAGAATACGGTCACCCCTCGAGATCGAGCAGAATAAGATGCTGTTCCCTATCGAACAATCCATCGGAAGAGGTAACATAGACGAATTTCAAGTCCAACGATTGTTCGGATCAAAGAAGGGGTTGGAAATTGATTGTCTGTAAGCGGAGGAGCGAGGGCTTATAACTCTTTCGGAGAAATATAGGGTTAGAGATGAAGAAGACGATGCGAAATTTCTTTTTACTTTTCAGGAAAAAGAGAGTCCTGTTTCCCTCAAGATGTCGGAGCTCCTTGAAGAATAAAGGGGACGGAGGCGGCCATTGGGGTAGTCTCTGAGAAGAATTGAATGGCGTCATCGTTCTTTTAGGTCTATTTCTGGAGATTAACCACTGATCTCTTTGCGGAAAAGGAGGGAGACTTGGCCGCGTTCCCTGACCGATTCAACTTAATTGAAGCTGAATTTTTGGGACAGATATTTCATTAAATTTTATGAAAATAAAATTGAAATAATTATATATATATATATAGCGAGAATTTGATAAATGAATTGAAGAGATTTTAGTTTTATAAATATCAAAGTTTAAAATATTATACATGTAATTGCCCATAAATTTGAATTAATCTTTTTTTTATTATACTTCTTTTAAAATTAATTGTATGATTGAAAATTTTTATCAATAAATAAATAAGAAATGCTGAATGCTAGAGATATTATGTAAATTATAAATTTAGGGAATCATTGCGGCATTCCAAATGAGATTGTACGATTGGTTTGGAAATTGAAGAATTTTAATGAATTTTTAAAAAGAGTTGTTAAAAGAAATATTATTTTCGTTGGGCTTGATAATTAGTTTGAATTTAACTTATTTTTTTAAATTCATTTATCTTGAGTGATCATGTAATATCTTATAGGGTATTGCAAAAAAAATTTATATCTGCAAATTCATTTTCTCAGATAATTACATATGGTGGCTTAAAAACGAAGTTTTAACATTATAACATACACAAATATATATAAGGGAGAGAGATAGGATAAAGAGGTTGTCAACCAAAAGAGAAGAAAGGTTTTTTTTTTTTTTTTTCAAGAGAGTGCTATTTCAATTCTAAGAGGAACCACTCTTAGAGCATCTCCAACGGAAATCTAAACACTTGAATGCCATCGCCCCGGAGCTCTAGTCGAACGGTAAAACTTCTGTTATTTCCTTGCGGGTGAATAGTGGGACGCCAATACAGGCGTTGCACTGTTTATCATCGCTATTTTTCTGTCTCTATTGAACTTGCCAAGAAACAACGCTAAAGAAGAGAAAGACTGTTACCTTCGCAAAATAGAGTTTGATTGGAGATGAATCACGGCATTTTTAGGTTTCACGACATTCTGGAGTGAAAAATGCGATTTTCCGTTGGAGATGATCTTAGTTCCAATTTCACAAGAAAGTGAAACTTTTGATTATAGTTTGAAAAAACTCATTTTATTATAGCCCAATGGATCCTAGTAGCCTCCCAAATTTTGGAGAGGTTTCACTCAAAAGCGCTCTCGCTTAGCTTACTCTTACTGCTATCCAGTTTATGTCATGCATATATACTAAATTAAAAAGGCATGAAACCTCATCCAATGGTAGGAGACCACACTAGAGGATATCAATGTGTAAATTAGATATTTATCATAATAACTTGTAGCTCAAAATTTAGTGTTCTCTTGATGAACACAAATGGACATTCATAGAAGGAAGTCAAGGATATTAATTTGGAGAGATTATTTTGTGCAGACACCGGACGGGAGAATCGTCCGGTTACGCTCGGTGTCGAGCATGGTACCAAGCACGGTCGGTACCAAGCGCGGTACATTTTTGAGGTGACGTGACACATTTTTATTGGTCTTCGGACACATCAAGACTCCGCACAGAATAATACATCATTAATTTGAGTGTTTAGTGTTGGCTAAATCAGTGCATAATAAAAAGCTCATATATGTGCATTATAGAGCTGATTATTAACATGCAGAAATGCACCCCAAAATAAAGTTATTTCTAAATATCCCGATATATACCTTATGTTCCACCATTATCATTTTAGTAAAGTTTTAGAAATAAAAGCTAAATAAGCAGTTTTTCAAGTTCGCGTATATTCTTAAAAAGCTGCATATTAACATTCCATTCGTGGATGCATTGGAATGGATGCCACCTCCAACCGAGCGCGAAACGAGTGTTTGCAGTTCGTCACGAGCTCTAACCGAACACGAGATTCAATAGCATTTTCGCAAGATGATATGTTCACAAACGCCATTTAAAAAAAAAAAACTTAAAATTAGGTTAATATATTTATTTCAAAATGTAGACTTCATTTTGGACAACTTTTTTACTGTTTTTTTACAAAAATTTTCTAATACAAAAAATTATAGTTCAAAAAATTTATACTAAAAAGCTATTTTAAAAAACATATAGAAAGTTGTTCCAAACGAAACCAAAATCAAATTGAAATCAAGTTGTTCATGATGCACTTATTCACTTACATTCCTAACTATTTTTTTTTTTTTACTTACATTCCTAACTATTGTACTATAAATAGATAAAAATTTCTAAGAGCCAACCCACTTAATTTTGGTTGCTAATTTAAGCTTCATTTGAGACTATTTTTATTACTGTTTCTAAATCAAATTTTTAATATTAAAATTTTTTGAATTAAAAAATTTTTTATTAAAAATTTGTTTAAAAAATTAATAATAATTAAATAACTACGGGGCATAAAAATTTCAATTTCCCTTTACAAACTTCACAAAAATAAATAATTAAATAACCAACAAGTTTATGAATAAAAATAATAGTCCTAAATGTAACAATTTTGAGAAAGAAAATGTCCAAAGCTGTGGTAGTTCTTAATATTTGATAATGGTGGACCTTTTATAAGGTGAAAATGATATTGGGAGATATCATTCGTTCGAACCAAATAATTTCAAACACGAGCCAAACACGAATACACCGAACTTCGAACAAGTTGAACACAAATAAACCACCAACTTGCTCTAAGCCCAACTTTTTACACAACTATAAACATAGACAAAGTAAAGAACTTCATAAATTTTGTGTGATGGATATTATAAATCAAACAAGTACAAGTTTAGTATAAAACAACAGCAATTTAGCAAACTTGAGAGAGGAACAGAGGCAATATTCCATAGCACTTATTCAAATATCATAACAACAATTCAGTAAACTTGATGATTGTAAGAGTAAGGGAAATCTTTATGAAGAAAGGACGGAGACCATACAGAGAGGAAAGGTTGCATTTGATGGTGAGTCATCAGTCGATGATATCCACATGAAATCTGCTTGACAATCCATTAAGCACACGAAACTTCTTGGAAATGATGAATTTATGTTCTAGAATAAAGAAACTTACGATTAAAGATAGAAATTAAAACAGTTAACTTGCCAAGTTAGCAAAAAAATTAAGAGAGTTTGAAAGGGAAGTAAGTTTTGATGAGTTGATAAGCATACCAGGCTCCCAAGATTATAGCTTTGGGATAGCTTTATTACTGCTTCTAAAACAGCTTTCTGGCATCAAAATTTTGAGCTCATAAATTTTTTGCATTAAAAACTGCTTTAAAAAATAGTAAGAAAGCTTTCTCAAACCAAGCTTAAGGCTTCGTTTGGGATGACTTTTTTATTGCCTTAAGTACAAAAATGTTCTTTTGTACTAGAAAGCTATTTCAGGAAGCAATAAAAAACCTATCCCAAATGAAGCCTAAGATTTTATTTGAGACGGCTGTCTTATTGCTTTTTAAAACAACATTGTACAAAAATTTTAAAATTAGAAATCTTTGTACTAAAAAATTGCTTTAGAAAGTAATAAAAATTTATCGTAAACGAAGCTTGAAGTATGAATGATGCATGAGTTATCATAAAATCAATAAAAATTGTCACCACAAAGGCCTGGAAAAAATAAAGAGAAGGGCAATTAAATCCAATTTCATTGAAAGTGAAACAGCTGCATGAATTTCCAGTCACAGTATAAAGAATATACAGGCCTTCAACATTTCCTAAGTATACCATAAGGAGGCATATATATATGCCTCAAATTGTATTAAACAATGCAACATTTGCTTAAAATTGAATTGGATTCAACGCCAAGTTAGAGTATAAAAGAGGCTAAGAAGGTTTTGATCACGACATGATAAGTAGAGTAGCTATCTACATAATAACCTTCTTTAATAGACTCCATCTCTTAGAAAAAAGTAAGCTGCTACACTGACCTTGACTTGAATAATTTTGAATCTGATTGGATAAGGGACTGCTTCTCTGGACTTGAAGGCACGTTACCAAATTTGTGAATCAGATACTTGAATGTGGGCACAAATAGAGAGTACAGCACCGCGAGTATGATCGGTGCTGCAACGATCCAGCCAAGTAGCTGCAGCAGCAGATTTTAATGTAAAATTAAAAACTGCAAGTAAAATAGTATTTGCATGTTTAGTTTAAGGCTTCGTTTGGGACGATATTTTTATTGCTTCTTAAAACAGTTTTCTAGTACATATGTTGAAATTTTTGTACTTTAAAGCTGCTTTAAGAAGCAGTAAAAAAGCCGTCCCAAACGAATCCTAAGTTAGTTTTCTTCACAAAATTGATGCAACATAAATGAGGATTTGGACAAATTTACTTTCCACCAGAAGTGAGTTCTTTTACATCTTTGTCATTTGGAATAAAACAGTTTAGGATTCTTTAGCAAACTGAGAGCAATCTTTTTGAATGATTAAAGCATTTAAACAATGGAGATTAGTTATTTGCTACTTACTGCATGTACTATACTGAGGAGGACTTCTCGGGACGCATGACCAGTCAAAACCTTTTTTAAAGCATCAGATGTTAAGGGGAAATGTGAGCCACCAGTAATGAATTCACCCAGTCGCAAAAATGGTATTACCAAACTGAAGAACAAGCAAAAGAACTAGTGCTGAGGTTGGAGCAAAATATGTAAATTATCAAAAACAAGTACTAAACTGTGCAGTGGAGTAGGCATGAAGAAAATTCTTGCAAAACTGTTGATGGGCAGGTTAGAGAAATTTTGGCCTAAAAAACTTAAATCCAACATCTCTTTGACCTTCAAGCCATCGCCAAAGGAAAATTCTTTTGATCTTTATGCAAAAATCAACATTGATATCAACTTCCTGATTTTGGTATGATAAACATGCAATTGCCACCATATTTGCTTGGTCAAAAAAGTATCGGAATTTGAATAAAAAAGCCGTAGAATTCAGAGCAAAAAAACTTTTTAAGGCAGCATTCAGATTCAATGAATTTTGAGCCAGCATTGAGTAAGCCTGTTATCAAGGACAGCTCCAGATTCCCAAGTTTTGCAGTTCCAATTGATTTGTTATTAACAGAAATTTGCACATTAAATCAGAGATTAGCCAATATTAATGAGGTGTTTGGATTTTCGCAGGGAGATAAGGACCAGGAAAAACAAAGGCCAATCATTAAACATGTTCAAGAAATTTAAAGCGATTAATTCAATATGCTTGAAGACTTGAGAAAGACCAAGTGAAGAACAAACCAGGTGGACTCAAATCTCTTGGACACTGACAACTAAAAAAGTACAACTTGTTATTTGAAAAATAAGTGATTATCCATTGCTGAATATTTGTTGTAGCCCTTCAAAAGTGAGACAAATAAAAGCCAAACGCCTCATACGCAAGCAAAAATATTGAGATGTTTACAAAATCATAAAAAAGACATAATAAAATAAATAAAAACATTAAAAACTATAAAAATTTTAGATACCATTAATGTGTATGACTTCTATATTTTAAGTCATTCATCTCCATTAGTTGATTTTTGTGCTATGGCGACTCTAGATTTCAAAACAATTGGCAACACAAAGGGATGCGGGACTTCTTGGAAGCATGACGTGATGGGTGGTCTCATCCCACATTGGGCCAGTGAAGGTTAGCAAAAGACCTCGAGGGTGGCTTCTACCAACCCCCTCACCCTCAAGGAAGGTGCCATCAAGAAGCATTCAAGAGGCTTCACCCCCTTCGCTATACATGGGCATCATCTAGTAATAGTATTTAAAATTTGTAATGTTTTAAATATCAAAGTATTAAAATGAACAACTTATTATAAGAGAATGAACTAAAATGAGCTCAAAAATAAAAAATGGGTCCCAACATGCCTATAAGAAGAAACGGAATGATGAACACATCAACCTTAATTCCAGCACAGTCAACATATGAAATAAAATTTTAATATTCATTTGTTTGTAGAAGAAATAATAATAAATGTTATATATATTCACTTTTATGTAGGAAAAATGCGTGACGGCTATGATCTTAAGTATGGAGTGGAGTGTGCTATTCAGTATGAGTTCTACATTGCTGAATGAATGGAAGCTACAAGGCTTTGCTGGCCATTCTGAGGTAAGCATGCACCCATCTACCTCATAGAGATCAAGGAAGAGTCATTATTAAGAACAATTGATTACAGGGGAGTGGATTGAGGAGATAGTGTGGTCCATTTGAGAAAGATGTAGTAAGACACTTTAATTGGTGTGACTAGCACAGGGTGAGATGACAATGGTGGTGGTAGCATTGATGATTAGTAACTTATTTTAATTAGTTATCTTTTTTTTTACTCTGATGAAAATAATGTTTGCAACTTATGAACAAGCTACGTTCAAGAATTATTAAACATGGAGATTCAAACGTTTTTTAGCATGTTTGAAGGATTGTTGCATTATTTTTTGTTTGTATTTGTTCTGAAATTTGAATTTAATGAATTATTACATATGTTGTTGAATATCAAATTTTTTTGAAATTAAGTTAATTGTATTCTAACCTTGACTCAATTTTATATGATATGGTTGAATGGATGTAAATATATTGTATTTGAAGATGGTACACATTTAAAATATGGCATGATAATGGCTGTTGCAAATGCATCTGCAACTGGTATCAGTCGCATCACAAAATTATGCTTTAATATTACCATTGGTATTGGTCGTCTTGTCCCTATTTGTGATGAGACTGATGGCTTTTTGATAAAAAATCGGTAAGCGATAGAATCTTTTTGGGATTTCTGCACTATTAGCTTTTCGAACAAATAAGCTTGCAAGATATTGTGACAGATTATGGTGGTCGTAAAAAAAATTTAGCAACAAGTGCATTGTGTATATATATGATAAGTTGAGCAATCACGAGGGGCAATTTGCAAAAAGCATATAGCCATAATTTAATAGGTCACCAGTCACAAATACTCAATATTCCTAAAGTGCAATTAACCTGTAAATTTTTATTTCCTATCATGGACACTAAACCTAAGCCAATGAGTAATCGACTAATGTAGTTCATTTATCTTTACTATGAATAGACAACAGAGTTAGAATATGAGAGATCTAATGCAAGCATGGAACTCCACCCCTCATCCCCGACAGTGCACAACAATAGAGTAAAAATATGAGAGATTTAATGCAAGCATGATATCGACCTCCCAAAGGAAAAAAAAAAGATCCTTCGAGTCTTCTTATCATTTTTTATGGGAAGGATAGAGATCTTTCTTCTAAATGGTTGGTAGTTCTTGAACATTCTCATCAACATACAATATTACTAAGTAGAATGAAATGAGAGAATGTCATTTCTCGGACTCTCCCAACAAGGAGAAGAAATTAAATTCCTACTTTTACAAATTATTTGATTTTTTAATTTTCTTTCCTAATGAAAAAATGACTCATTATTTCAACTCTCTCCCTCCCTCCCCCTCCCTCTCCTACCTTCCTCTCTCCTTCTATTTCTATCTCCCCCTCCTGCATTTTAATATCTTTAGTTTCTACAAATCCTCTTAAATGTTTACAAGTCATATAAGCACCGACGCCTTATATGCAAAGGCTATGGCTATAATGCCTCAATGACTGCAAGATTTTGCAGTAGTCAAATGGTTTGAGGCGTTGGTGATACGTTGACTATGACAAATCCTTCATCAACAAGTAGGTGTCAATTTTGTGGAAAGTTCAAGGAGCTTCTAGGAATGCGACATTTATGACTTGCACAATAATAAATTCATTTTCTATAAATTATAAAATGCATTGCATCAAAGATATTTTCTAATATCCCTAAGTGGACTCCAACAACTCTCTCTCTTACTCTCAAACCCCTCTTCACTTTAATACTCTATTCTTCTCTCTTGCTACTATCATCTATGTTAGGGCTCCAAAATAGTGTGCGCACTAAATGTTAATAAGTAATATAGGCACCGGTGCCTTATATGCAAGGCTAAGGCTATGATGCCCCAATTATTGCAGGGTTCCGCAACAGTCTAATGGTTTGAGGCTTGATTTTGGCGACAAGTCAAATTTGGAAAATCCTTTCGTTGACAATAGGTGTCAATTTTGTGGCAAGTTTCAGGTAACTTCAAGGAGGGTGACATTTAAGACTTCACAATCAAAGAGTCATTTTATGTAAATTTTAAAATGCATTGCATCAAAGATATTTTCTAATGTCCTCTTCTAGAAAAACTCCAACCACTCTCTTCGACTCGAGCCCCTTTCTCTCTTCAATACTATTCTTCTCTCTTGCTAGTCTCATCTATGTTAGTGTTCTTAATATAGTGTGTGCACTGAACAAAAACTTTATGAAGCACATAATCACGTCATTATCTTGTACCTTGATACTTTGAACATGGGAGTATCCCTCCTCACCACCATTCCATAAGCAATCCATATGAGATCATGATATCAATATCACAGGCCGATCTTGGACACATGAATGTTCCCCAAATGAATATTATTATCTAATCATTGGTTCTTGACCATAATACTACTAAAATTTTAAAAAATAATAGGTTGGCTATAAATAATTTGAAACCAATACATCTAGGTAAGAAAATAACCAATACACTGCATGGGGGATAAAAAAAATTAGTACTTTAAGATTCTAGATGTTATATAATGACAATTTAAAAAAATATTATTAGTCTTAAAAAATTTGAAGATTAAGTGTTATGTACTTATCTTATATGAGACCAACTTTAAAAGAATAGATTGATTACTTTCTTGTTCTAATAAAAGAATTAAAATTTTAAGGAAAAATATAAGAACCTAATTTTGAAATATTATGCTTTAAGATGGTAGACATATTTTGACCAATAATTATTTTATGTTTAAAAATAAATTTCAAAATTAGTTTAAATCTAATAATAATTTAAAAAGGAAAACTTATTTTCAGATTAAACATTTATTAATTAAGGAGAGAATGAAATAATTTGAAAAATGCAGAGATTATATTGATTTAAGAGATGTGAGTTGTCCCTTTACAAGAGAATAAAATTATTGAAAAAGCAATAGACATCTTCATTTTAAAAAGCAACTCTCACCTAGTTTGTAGTTTTACAAAAACTTAAAGGGGAATGTTATATCTCATTGTGGCTTAATATATAGTATGTAGATAGATTGGTAAATGTTACTTGCTCTTCTTAAATAGAAAATACTTTCCATCCTATTAAAAGAATAATAAATTTTAAAAATTGAGATAACTTTATTTTGAAAAGAGATCTCTTGATTGTAGCTTTAAAAAGTTTCTAACATAAGTATTTTCTTTCATTGTGATTTAATATAACATGCATAGATAAGATAAACGGAAAGATTAAAAAAGAGCATGAAGGGAAATACAGTATAATTGCTACTAGGTTTATGTAGACCAATCCAATATCCCCACTCAAATAATTTAATATCCAAATTTCATTTACCACCATCAAGTTTATCTATCCCTTAAATAAGTCATTTGTGACCACAGAATACATGGATTATGTGCTAAAACTTATATGTGTAATTACTCTCCTTCCAAAACTAAGTCCTTCCTACCTGGCTGGGTATATTTTTAACCTTTAACTTGATTCCCATGGCTAAAATAGGACTGTGCAAAACATTACTGTCTCATGATTTCAAGCATTTCAACATATGTCGCATTCCTTTTGCCAAAACTAGTTGAATCCTATAATGGAATAAAAGAGCAATTGAACTCAGCAGAAATTCTTTGTTTAATCTTTTTGGCAAAACTCCTAATGAGAACTTCACTAGAATTAATCAATTCAATTATTAGAATTATGCTTAATTAGTACAAATAAACCATCTGAGATAACTTGGCAAATATCATGAGAAAAATGAATGCAACATGTTACAGATTCAATCTTATCATTTTTTATTTATGTTAATGGTATGAAATAATTTTATTAGATAGAACCAATCATGGCCTTAGGCCCTTAGTGATTCCACATTGGTATGGAAATATTCTAAAACCATGCTTACACGTAGATCAATCTATTTCTTGTGTATTTTGATAAAATAGGTTGAAAAACAATAGAAATTCTCAAGCCTTGTCAGGCCAGGCGTCAAAAAAAAAAATCTGGATCACTTAGCCCATCAATTCCTCAACCTAATATTGTTTACCAAGCAGCATATGTAAAACTATTTAAAATGAAAGTTAGACTATTTAAAATGAAAAGTATATAAACTTATCTACTGATATTAATCAGCCAATCAGATGATCATTATGTGCCTTTAGGTTCCATTAAAAGAACAGCCAAAGAGGAAACCAACAAATAACATTTCAAGAAAGATACTCATAATGGGAATGGAAAAAAGTAAACAAGGGCAGCTCGAGGGATTGGGTTACAACTTCCAAGAAATAATAGGATAATCTAAATTTCAGATTGAATTGGAGTGTTTTCATTGAATATCATTGTATTTGATCATGCTTACATTCAATTTCGAATAAAATCTGGCATTGTAAATCACAAATGCTAGAAAATGCTAGTTAGCATTCAACAGTACTTATTGCAATAGCAAATCCACAGAGGGATAGTGTGACACATTGAATACACAAAATGTTTATTGGGTGAGATAGAGAGATTACCTCAGCTCAATAGGAGTAGCAATGAAATTGGCCAGTAGAGTGCTAGGAGCATGGCAATGCTTCCCTAATATTGCAATAGCAAATCCACAGAGCAACAGTGTGACTCCTGGCAACAACAAAATCAACGTGATATTTAGATGAGTCACTTCAAATGACATAACGTGTAACCTGTATGTAAACAGTTATAGTCTAACATAGCATCTCTCAATTAATCTAGACACCGATAAAAAAAAAATTAAAAAAAAAATCCAAGACTACTTCCAAAGTACTTGAATGTTAGAAGCTTACCACTCCAACGTAATAGTTCCACCTTAACAGAAACAAAAGGTTAATATTCAAAAACCTGCTTAGTTGCCATGTACTTTGGTTTAGTTTCCATTTAGGGCGGTTGCAATTATTTGTAAGAGTTGCTGTAGAATTGTAATGAGGAAATGGATTTTTTAAAAAAACTGTTGAAGACATTATAGACTTCTTTTTATTTTTTATTTTTATTTTTTTGATAAAGTTAGATTCTACCCCACTCTATTAGATTAGGTTGTAATAAATTAATTTTTCCCACTTAAATTTATGAAAAACAACAACAACAAAAATTACAGTCAAACAGAAGTAATAGCAGAAAAGCGAAGTAGTTAAAAAGCTCCCTCAAAAGGATGCTTAATATATCAATTAACAAAAGCTGCAGTCTCCTATCACAAATTTCCAGATGATTATACTGTTCGAAAAAAAAATCAAGCCCAGACTATATATAAGATCAATCACCTTTACAGAGTTGAATTACCAGAAGTCATAATAATCCGTCAAGTTTACCATGAAATTGACAAGCCAAATAGATAATCTTCTTACCGCAAATGGGGAATATTCCCAAAGTCAGACCGAGTGCTGTTGAAAACGCCAATTGCTTGGGCTCTGCACCTCTAAATAATAAAACCATAAAATTACTATAACGTTCTTTCAATCAAAAGCAAAAAGGGGTAAAAAATACATCAATTCTGGAACTGAAGCAGATGATACGATAATACAGAATATCTGAAACCTAAAAAAAGTATGAAGGATCTGATCTTGGTGGATTCAAAACAATAATCCAACAATCAGAATACCTAAACGAAATACCCGCTTAAAGATCTTTAGCAATACCTAAGTACAAATAAGAAAGCTTCTAATAAAATGATGATGCCGCGAAATAGAAAGAAGGGGGAAACCTAAAAGTGCAAGATAAGGAAATATCTATTGTGCAGGGAGCGTGGAATGGGGCAATATGGGGGTCGATTTAATGCCCCCAAGAACATACCTCCCAATAATCTGCAGGAAAGGATCGACAATCTTCTTTCTCAGCCAAGGCATCAAACTCAAACTCCAAATCGACATCTTGGAGACTTCTCCACAAAACTGTTGCTTTGATTAGCGTCCGACAGCGAAGTTTGTCCTCCGGTTACTTGCAGCGCAGAAACTTGGCGATTGATAAGAGAAAAAAATTCCAACTTTGATTCAAAAACACGAGCTTCAGTGCAGAACGCGATTGATTTTCATAAAAGCGCGTGCAGCACAAACTAGGAAGAGATTTTCGTACCCACACGGCAGAATGGCTCCCGTTGATCGTTTATAGATTTTTTTAATTAATTTAAAATTGCAAGTGACGAGAAATCAATTTGTTTGGGCGTTGAAGGTGTAAGGAACTCATTTTTCTTAAATATAGTAATCGGAAAGATGAGCTACAAAATTTTGTAGTTTATTGCCAGCAAAAAGTTAGGATTTTGAATAATTTTGACATTTCATTTAAGATAAATTATCTTTATCATATGGCTGCTTGCCGTTGTTCCACATCGACATTAAAGGGAGAATTGTTGGCTTGCAATATGGAAGGATTGCTTCTCTTATCCCCACGTAAAGGTTTATTTATTATCTATTATTTAAATATTTTAAATTTAATAGTATTTATATATTAATTAAGTTATTAGGGATTTTTATCTTATTATTATTGGCGGTAGTTAATATTTTTCATAAAAATCTTTAAATTATTATTAAAATTTTGAAATTTAAATTTATGCTTCTAAATTCAATACTTTGAAAATAAATATAGTATAAAACAATAAAAATGAAATAAATTCGATGATAATAGTTTTCATGATCTTATATAATTTTTTGTATTTTTCATATGTTGTCTATCATTATAATATTGAATATTTAATAATTTAGTTCAATTATTATGATTATACTTTAGACATTTTTTTTTATTTTTTTTTATTTCATGTAGTCTTATAGACATAAAAAAAAATTCTTCTAATGTTTCATCTAATACTTTTTCTATTCCTAATACATAATCATAATATCCATCTACTTGAGCATAGATCTTAATACAAATATGTGAATCAGAGACTTTCATAATTAACTTTGAGAAAATTAGAATTTCATTTTCAGTGAGATTATTATTGAAACAAATATTTAGATGTGATAAATCAATAGCATAAAAATTGTCATGAGGTGAGTTAAAATGGTTTTAAATCAAGCATTTAAAAGTATAGTTTAAAATTTTATGTGATTATTTATGTGTTCAAATAATTTATGAATAATGCAAACTTACAATCAGAATGAGTATCTCAACAAGCGAAATTCAATGAGCTTAAGATCACTTAATTTTTGTGTCAATAAGGCATTAGATGTCTAAAGATTGAGTCTATGATCAATGAGATTAATATGAATTATTAGATGTAATGTTTGAGGATTTTAGCAAAAATAAACAAAAGTTTACTCCCAAAATCTATAAATTTCCCTCATCCACACATGAGGACCTAGAGTTTAAAAGTGCTCACAAATTAAAAAAAAAAATCCTTGAGCCATGTTTGATGATTGACATTTACAATCATTAATGGCAGCCATCATTACCTGACTCGTCACCTAATAGCCATTGCATGCCAATTGTATCCTAACAATCAACTTTTGCCAAACAACATCGACACACTCATCTCATTTCCATTAAGGTCAATGTATGTTTTTGATACCAATATTGATACTCATCATCGCCAAGAAAGTCAATGCATACTATTAACTTATCAAATGTTAAAACATTGATATATCTAGTTTGACCAATAAAGATTCCACCATCATTTTGCTTTACCTATCATCAAAGAAATAATATAATCTCTCTCATTAAACTCATCTCAAACTGCTTACTCATTATTTTAGTAAGTTCATGGCATAATGATTCATATGTGATTCCAAATAGGATAGCATCTACATAGATCAAATTCACTCTTATGTCTTATCCAATCCTCTTTAATAAATAATATAGTGTCTATATTTCCTTTGCTAAATCCTAAGCTCATAAAAAATGAGCTTACCCCCTCATATCATGCCCTAGGGGATTACTTCCATCCATATAGTGCCTTATTCAATTTAAACACATGATATGGATAAAGTTACTAAATAAAACCTGGTGCTTGTTCTACATAAACATATTCATTTATAATTCCATTTAGAAATGCACTTTAAACATTCATCCGATGTTGTCTAAAGACCTTCTAGCATCAAAATTTTATTAAAAACCTAGTGGCTTATAACCTACTTGTTGAGGCATATAATGTTATAACCCAAAATTCATAATATAAATTTATTTAAAATTATAAATATTTGAAGTACAATACAATGACGCCAGGGCTGTCAAGAGTAGGGGTATCAATTTCGGGTCACGGGTCGGGTTCGGGTCGAACCCAAAACTGACCCGGCACTATTCGGGTCAACCTGAACCCGACCCATTTTTGAAAATGGGTCCATTTTTAGTTTGTTACTCCGTGTCCGTTAATGCATGGACGCCATGATTGACCAATTGTACGACCTTCGATCTTTTGACTTCTCTAGCTTATATATTTGGAGATAGACGAGTTAGCTTTGAACATTCTAAGGAGAAGCTAACATAGTTCAGATCTTGAGAGGGAAACGATGGATGCATATAGTTCTGATGAGGAGAAGATAGAACAACCGAAATCAGAGGTAAACCTGAACTTTAGACCTACCTTCTCTTCATCATTATCTGATGGTTTTTTTCTTCATAGAGAGAGAGAGAGAGAGAGAGAGAGAGAGAGAGAGAGAGAGAGAGGTCCTCTATGGCTTCTTTGTCCATTTCTTCTATTACAAAAATTATTTTGATCATTATAAGTGACCTCTAATTTATATCTATTTTTCAACGATTTTGAGTTTACTCTATTTTCTCCCTCATAAAATTGGCAAAAATGTAATATATCCCATTTAAATGAACTTTATTATGTAAATTTTGATATGGATAAATATCTTTATTCTGAATATTTTGACTTATTTATATTAAAACTTCATCTATTGGTTTTACATATATTCCAATTTATTTGAAATAGATAGAGAAAGATTGGGTGTTAAAGGATTAGGAGTTAATATACTAAATCTAGATACGGGATATTGGACATGCATATGGTTACTATTCTTTTGACATGACATGCATGCATATTGATGAGCCCATTAGATATATTTATGTGTTATAATAATTGCATATGATGTGTGCATATTGTTTATTATTGTGATATAATATGAAATGAATGTAAGAATAAATTATGTGAATGAACTGACATGCTAGATGAGGCAGGTGAGATTGATATAGATATGATATAGAAATGATAAACGAGATAGATTAATGATAAGATGTTTAATGAGTGGAGACTGATGATGGATGACTTATAGATGATTACATATAAGATAATTGATAGATGAGATAGATGATATATGAGATAAATGATAGATGAGACCAGTAATGAATGAGATTGATCGTAGATGATAGAAGAGACAAATGATAGATAAGGTCGATGATATATAAAATTGATGGTAGATGAAAGATAAGATGGACGATTTATGAGATAGATGATAGATAAGATTGATGATAGATGTGATCGATGATAGATGATAGATAAGACTGATGTCATATGATATATGAGAATAATGGAAAATGATATATGAGATAAATGATATATAAGATAAAAGAAATATAAAACAAATGTTAGATGAGATATATGTTAGATAAGATAGATGATACATAAGACATATGCTAAATAAGAGAATTATGAGATAGATGATAGATAAAACCGATGATAGATGATGGATGAGATCGATGGTAGATGATAGATGAGATATATGATAGATAAGAAGATGATTGATAAGACATGAGACTGATAAGAATGATGAGAGAAAGACTGATAATAGATAAAACTAATGACTGGTTGATTAATTAAATGATAGCAAATTATAACTAATGGTTTATATGTAGAGAGATTGATATTGTACTGATATGAACATGATGTATGGCTCATATGATAAAATTGATTCACTTAATATACAAGAATTACCATTTATATGAACATGATTTCTTACATAGTATTTCTATTTTGAGTATTGATTTCAGTTGTTGATATTTATAACTTGCTGGACTTTTGTGCTCATTATGTGATTTTTACATATTTTCAATTAATGGCAATGGAGAGAGGTTAATCCACCAACTGGCTTAGGCTTTCTTCTTGCATCTAATGACATATCTTTTTTGTGGTCAGGATATGTTTTAGTGATATGTTATATGGATATCATGACTATTATATATGTCATTTTAAATTTTATACCATTGTGTAAATATTGGACGAATTGCAAATTTTTAAATTTTATACCATTGTGCAAATATTGGACGAAATAAATTTTTTTTCTATTTCTGATTGATGATTAAGAAGATAAAAGATATAATTCATCTAAAGTTAGGCATTGGGGCATTATAGAATGGTATCATAGCAATGGTTATTGGAAGAATTGAATTATAGCCAGCGTTGTATGAATGATTATGAATGGGTAGAAATGAGGTAGTTTCTTGCATAGATGAACATATGTTTCATACATAATTGAATATGCAGTATATTTTAAAAATTTGTTTAACTTATTAGGAAAAAATATATATTGGTGGAATTAATGGAACCAAAGGGGAAATAAATTTCAGTTGAACAAGATACATGAGCAGTTTAAATTACACCTGAGGGCATATTAAAATTTGCTAATATGATTGCATAACTGATTAGTGATAGATTAATTAAGTGGTCTGAACAGACACTTTCTGATCGAACAGTAACCTCCAACATTCAAGAAAATAGGTGAAGGTACTAAGAAGAAGACTTGTAAGATTATGAAACCATATACTCGAAATAATTTGAAATGTATTTGGTGTGGAAGAAAACATATAGAACAATGCTATAAAATATAAGGCAATGCTTTAGATGTGGTAGCCATATGCACAATATGATGCATTATCCAATACTTGGATATAAATAGGGATTCGTTCAGACTGGAAAAGAAAATGTGAGTGGTAGTTGTTGTAGATCTATGGCTTATGATTTTCATGATAGCAAACATTCTTTTTCTCTACGACTGCTTTAGCTACTGACATTTCAGGTTCACAAGATCGGACTATAATTTGGAACCAGCTCAAGATTGGGTAGACTACGTCTAAGTCACTTTGTACCCTTTTTCCTTTCTTGAGTCTATTGTATTTGGTGTGGCTCCTGATGCTTTGTAACTTGGAAGATTTCTGACTATTCCCTAGAGTTTACTGTTTTTGATAACATCGTCCGGGAGCATCACATGATATATGATTAAATGAATCATATACTTCCACAATCCAACCAAATATGACTTACAGACAGAACAGGTCATATCGT